ACCCCTAAACCCTTAAAGCCTTAAACTAGGAAGTTCCCTAGAGCCCCTGGTCCCTCTCCTTCTTCTTCCCGTGGCTGCCGATCTCTTCCAGGAGTTGAGCCTCGAAACTATGGGTAGTTCTCTAAATTAGGNNTTTAGGGTCCTTGATATAAGGGTGCCGTACTATAATGGGGACCTAAAAAGGTTAGGATTTAGGGTTTAGGGTTTCGGTGTTTAAGGGTTGAGGGTTTTAGCAGTAGGGACTTAACTTAAGTTGCCATAGCAAGGAACCTACCTTATTTAGCCGTTACCGATCATCTGGGTTCGTAAGTACAGGTCCTAAGCCCTGAGCCTTGATGCCCCCGACCCTGAACTCCAAACCGCTAGGCTCTGCAACCAAGGACGTAGGAGATGCCTGGGCACAATAATAACGCATGACCGCTGTGTCCACCAACACACAACTCAGGCAGCTGGTTGGCCTGCCGAGTGTGGGGAACCCACTACTCACGCAGGCCAGCAAGGAAGGTCGCAAAGTCGGATCAGAGCCCTGCTGACACGAAAGATCAGGAGTCCGAATCTGAGGAATGCATGAACTGGGAGATTGCCGCCAACCCCAACTGCTCCCGGATCTGGAAGTTGTGCTCCTCCCGCTCCATTTCCTGAAGAAGTAGAGCATCTTCTGCCACTTGCAATTCATAAGACCACCAAGACGAATGCATGTGTGGTGATCGAGAGACCATGGCGGCCACCACACGGCACGTCCACATCGTGTGGCCCAGCTCAATCCAAGATCCACTGAGGAACTGCACTTACTACAGAGGTTTCAGTCCATAGAGGTTGATGGCTCTGAGGTGTTAGGGTTGTACCAGAAAATCGATAGTAAACAGCAAGGGGGGGTCACTTGTGCTGGTAACTTAAACTACGTACCTTCACAAGAGCCCAGATGAGGAGGGTTGGGTTTTTTGTGCTCCGGTGGAAACCAAACAGAACAGTATTTTCATAATCCCTTGAAGCTTGACTGGAATATATATATATATATATATATATACAAAAATAACAAACAAATCCTAGGAGCACTAAAGGTATAGGGTTTAGGGCTTTAAGCTTCGAGGCTTAGATCTCGGAGCCTTTAGGTTTAGGACTTCATGTTTCCTCCCTACACCCTAAACAATAAACCTTAAGCCCTAAACCCTAGGGCTTAGGGCCTGGAGCCTGTTTGAGTTATGGGTTTGGCCTTCTTCTGCAAAGTTTTGGGATTAGGGTATATTGCTCATTGTTTTTTACACGTACGTGTAAAACACAATTAACGACATGCTCTAGGATGCTTCCCTGTGTGGCTTGCCTGCAACTGTGTTGCAATGGTTGGGGCTCCGGGAACGGCTTATAGTCTAGAACTCTTCGTGTAGGGGCCTTGATAGTTAGAATGGGGCTTGGGGGCATATTATACTACAATTATAGTAAGGAACCCCCCAAAAGAGTATAGGTAATCAATAAGGCCTCTATATTGCAGCTGGCTTCTCCTTCCGTGGATGTGGCGGTCTCTTACAATTACGGCGTGCACTGGGTTGCTTCGACGGTGAATTGTCAGCGATTGATAAGGAATCTTAGGCTTAAGCGCCCTTGGAACCATAATAAAAACATTTTTATTAATAACCCCTAAGCCCCTAAACCTTCTGAGCCCCAAACCCCAAAACCCTAAAGGGTAGTTCTCTAAGCTGCGGTTCATTTTCAAGTCCCAAAATAGTACATCACCCTCAAAAGAACCCTAAAAGGGACCCTTAACCCTCAACCCTACGCCCTAAAACCCTAAACCCTAAACCCTAAACCCTAAAACCCTAAAACCCTAAAACCCTAAAACCCTAAAACCCTAAACCCTAAAACCCTAATTCCTATGAGGCCCTTGGCGCCCCGGCCGGATCGAGGAAAAACATGGTGACGCGCTTCTGGTCGTCTCGATCCTCCTGGGGAGGTGGGGTGGATCCTTTTAGGGTTTAGCGCCTAGGTAGGAGTTTAGGGTTTAGGGTTTAGTGCTTAGCTTTGGGTTGAGGGTTGAGGGTTGAGGGTTGAGGGTTGAGGGTTTAGGTTTCTTTCAAGGGTTCCTGTAGGGTTCCGATAAGGGCCGCAGCTCAGTTTCTGTAGGGTTTAGGCCCTTCCGGGAATTTAGGGTCTACTATGGGCTTCATGTTGGGTAGTTGTCAAAATTCGGGTCCCTTTTTGGGTCCTTATTATAATACGGCACCTATTATTAACGGTACCCCAAAAGGGACCATAATTTTGACAACCACCCATGTGGGATTTTAGGGTCTGCTGACTTAAGGAAACTCCAGGTGGGCAGTTTAGGGTATATAGGGCTTCCATAAGGCTTCTATGAGGTATATAGACCTTCTTTAAGGCTCCTATAACGGTAACTACCCACCTCAAAATGTCCTAGACTATAGGCTTCATGTGGGATTTTAGGGTTCGCGGACCTCGGCAGAAAGAAGCTGCTCAATTCAGACCCGTTGTACTTGGGTCACAACTATCTAGACCTCACCCTCAAACCTAAACCCTAACCCCAAGGGTCCAAGTACCTAATAATCATACACTCTCCAAAATCCTAACCTACATAATTGCTATCCTGAAACCGAGTACCTAATTATTGGGTCCTATAGACCCTGCTTACCCTCTAAACCCCTGAGCCCTAAACCCTCAAAGCTACATGGAGCAGCTATCGGAGTCCCTGAAGCGCTCCCGCGACATCGCCAGTGGCCAGCTGTGCGTGCCGGCAGCTGCAGCATCGCCCTTCTCACCCTGGAGTATTTAGGTACCCTACAGGGTTTGCGGTTTAGGGGTTTAGGGTTTAGGGTTTAGGGAACCCATGCAGTATTTAGGTACCTTGTTGGGGATCTATCGGGTATAGGCGTAAGGGCTTTGGAGGCTTCGGTATGGCTTTGCGACTCGATTTTTTAAAATGGTAAAGACTTCAGATGTGCTTTAAAGGGCTTTTCTTAAGGCCTTCCACCTAGGATCTGTTATTGAGGGGTCCTACCACTCAGGGTTCGAAATTGCGATGTGTACAGTGTCTTCTGAACTCCCTGTTAGTAAGTTTCTGGATCTGGGCCCATCTAGGCATGAGGATAAACGCTCTTGGATTGAAAAGTTGCCTAAACCTCCGAAAACAGCTTAGATCAAAGCCCAACCCATATAAAGGCGACTGTTCCACATGCTTTTAGGGTCCAGGTTAGGGCTTTAGGGCTTCGGAATTTCGGTTTAGGGTTTCGGGTTTAGGCTTGAGTTCGAGATCAGGTTGCCCAGAAAGCCTTTGCAAATAAGGATCCCCTTGTTAACTTGTAATAAAGAAATCCCCCAAAAATAAGGATGCGAGTGTACTGCCGGGCTGTAGAGTTCAAGGCTCCGTGCTTGGGACGTCAGCGCAGGGCTTGGGGTGGAGGGTTTAGGGGTGTAGGGTTTAGGGTTCAGGGATTAGGGTTTAGGGGGTTTGGGGGTTTAGTGTGCAGGGTTTCGGGGTTTAGGATTTAAGATCCAGGCTTGAATGGGCTTATCCCAACATGAAGAGGGCAGAACGGCTTTTCTGGAAGACCGATATAAGGATTAAGGGCAGCCCTAAACCACAGGCTCATATACCCACCAGACAACTCCAGGTTGGGGAAATAGCATGAACTGTCCAACTGTGACATTTGCCAAGCAACACCTATAAAGATCAAGATCAGCAAGAGGAGCAACCTCAGCACTTTTAAGCAAGATCCCGCTGTTGGACGACTGGAAGTCCAACAATCACCGTGTTTTCCCAAACCGGTTGGCGAGACCTTTCTGGCCCCCTTCGCAGTGAGGACATCATCCTCAGTTTCAAGATTCACATCAAGTTGGGTGGCAGCTTTGATGAGCAATTCTCTCCTGCGTTTGGCTTTATCAACACACGCAGAAGCACTTTGCTTGCTGTGCCTCTCGACAACTCTCCGCCTTCTGAAATAAGATAGTATTGGTTTGCCAGAGACCACGTCAAATTTCACATGGACGTTGAAGCTTCACCTGCATCTCCTTCCTCGATAGCCGCCAGTGCCAGACGCACCCAGCGAAATTTGGCTCCATCTGTGCCGCGAGCATGCATCATCGCCGTGCATTAGCCATGAACCCTAGCGAAACCCTAAAGCCCATACCCTAAGAGTTGAGCGTAAACCCTAAGCCCTACCTTAACCCCAAGAAACATGCTTTTCGAGGAGTTACACAAAGGAATAATCTTAAGGAGCCCTAAACAAAAAGAGGATTTGCTGTGCAGTGACGTTGTTGCTGTTAAGGAGTTTTCACTAAGTTGAGATAATAAGGAACCGCTATTTACTATATATCCCGATTATGGCAACTTAAACTTAGGGGCTGAGAACCCTAGCCCAACAAAAAGGTTAACCTTTTGAATTATACGATTGATGATATACATCCTGCATTATCCATATTAAAGGATATGCCATAACTTCTATGGTTTAGGGTCCTGAAGGTAATGCAGGACAGCGGGAATTAGGATTATATGACCCCCATAGAGGATAAAGTCTACCTAGGCAGCCCCTAACTAAATTAAGTTCCTTAACAGCAACCCAGAACCCTAAACCCTAAACCAAAAACCCTGAAACAAAAACCTAAACCCTAAACCAAAAACCCTAAATCCTAAACCCTGCACCCTAAACCCTAAACCCTGAACCCTGCATCCTAACCCTAAACCCTAAACC